AGCCGACCATCGAGCACGACGCCTCCCCGTCGCCTCGGCTCTTGCCGCTGGAGTTGTCGACATCCTTTGTCGACGACGTCTTCTTTGACGTCTGCTTCTCTCTGCGCGGCATCTCATTTCGACGGGGGCGACTGCTGGTCGACCGGCCACGGCCTCCCTTGGTGTCATCCTCGTCGCTGTCGTCGCGGTCAGGACATTCGTAGGAAAGATGGTCGGGATCATGGCAGATCCAGCACTCTCGCCGTTGACCATCACCTCCACGGCCCTTGCCCCGCGTCGACGTTTTCTCGTCGACGTCCTTCGTCGACCGCCCACCTCCGCTACCACTGCCGCCATGCATCCTGCGCTGCCCTTGCTGCTGATTCAGCTTCGTCGGTGCAGCGTAGTTAGCCTGGGGAAGGAGCTCCGTGGGCTGTTCGGCCTCTTGCATCGCCTCATCTTGGAGGATGTAGCTGGTGATGGAGTCCTCGTCGAGGGACTCACGCGTGCCAGGTACCATCATCATCCTCTTCATGAGGTTGTATCCGCGCAGCAGGCCCTTGACGATGTGGGAGATGTAGGACGCCGTCGAGTATTCGGCACCCGCCATCCGCATCTCAGCCAGAATCCGTCGAGCACGGTTGCAGTAGTCCGTCGCCGACTCCTGCTCGCCCATACGAATATGAGTCATCTTCTCCTCCAGTTGTGCGATGTACAGGTCGTCCCTGACCTGGTACGTCGACAGGATGAAGTGCCATGCCTGGTGGCCCGCATCCAGTCGCTCTCGACAGCTCCTGAGCGCCAGCTGCACCACCGGTGAGCAGCACCTCGAGATGACCATGAAGGTGAGCAAGTGAGCCGCACGAAACTCCCCGCGTAGCCCGACATGGTCCACGGGCGGAATTGGGACTGTGCCGTCGGCGAATCCCTTGAGCCCGGCGACCTCCAGCTGGGGTTCTATCGACTCCCTCCAAGTGATGAGGTCCCGTCGACCTTGCAGAGGTGCGACGGTAATCCGGTCCGGCGAGAACTTGAAGTAGCCATACGTCGGTGCAATCCCGCCCGACGTCATATGCGTCGTCGCTGAGAGCCCTCCACTGCTTCGTAGGGGTGAGCGAGCTCGACCATCGACATCGGCACGCGAACTGCCTGCAGGCGCCGTTGACTTCTGCACTCGCGCCTGACTCCTGTCGACGCCACCGTCGACCTTGAGCACTCCTCTCTGCTTCGTGCCATCGTTGCCGCTGACTCGTGCACCGCCGACGACCTCGTCGTCGACGCCACCTTCGTTTCGCACCGGTCGAGGAGAATCTGGACGGGAAGGGTGTTCCGTCGCCCACTGCGACCGAATGCCCAGCTCGACGATCAGCAAGGGGATCGTCCCGTACTCGCCATCCGCATGGCGATTCCTCGCATCAGCCAAGCGTGCCTCCAAGGTGTCCGCTACGCCCGCATTAGCTACGGGGTCGACCATGGCGACTATCGCTGCTGCCGGACTACGAACGACTTAGTAGGTGCAAAAGTCGGCTCCTATCTGAAGGTCGCGTGTTCGATCCACGCTCACCGCACCATGAGGAGAGTCACTCTACAACGGTGGTGAGCTAGACTACAAGGTTGGCACGAACTACTAGGAGTGATCGTAGCTTTCCTAGTTCCTTAGTGCTTGCACAATTACGGGAGAAATCGGCAAGAGTTTCCACTAGCAAAGTTGGAATTACTGAATTGTTGAACAAGCAATGACAAGAATGACTACATCAGGCACCTAGCAACTCTGCAGCTAGACTGGTCGACAGACAGCACAGCATGGTCGACCGCGTGCCAGCGTTGCGTAGAGGAGCCGCGCCAGCACTACAGAAAGGCGACCTGCCAACACAACACGTCGACGGTGTGCCAACGCTGCGGCAGAGCGGCTGTCCAGCGTTGCCCCGTAGAAGACAGCAGTGCGTACGCTCGCAGGTGCGCGCAAACGATTGGCCCGACTTGCACCGTTGTACATTCGTTGGCTGTTGTCTGCGCCTGACGAGCCACATCGACTTCGGGATACCAACCCGAAGTCGCCTTCGCCATCGCGACCTCGACAACGTTTTGCGTGCCTCCGCAAAACCCGCCGAGCAGGTTACCCGGTCGACCTAGACAACCCCAGATGCTCTGGTCGACCACCAAGTCCCTCTGGTCGACCACCAGGTGCCCTTGGTCGACCACAACTCCCTTCGAGCTACCCCCTGGTCGACAGACCTCTTCTGTCGACCAGAACTGTCAGCTGTTGTCGTCGAGCTCCCCTCGTCGACCGCTGCTCACTTGCCAGGTCGACGGACAGCTTCGTCGACCTCCTGGTCGAGCTGTCCCTCCTGGTCGACGGCCCATCCGACGCCCAGACCAGTCAGTTGCAGCTGTCGAGCTCCCTGGTCGACAGCAACACCACAGCGGTCCCCTGCAGTTCGACGAAGCCTGTCGAGCAGCTCTCCCACTGTGGATGGTCGGCTGCTACTCCCGTACATCCGACCAAGTCGTCGGCGTTGCCCAAGCGAGGGCGGGGCCAACACTTCATTCCCGTTAACAGATATGGCATCCTGGAAGTCCACAGGCACCTACATCTATGAAGTTCCCCCGTCTCGGGCAAACATAGTCGATGGCATGTGGATTTTAAAGGTGAAGCGGCCGTCGGGTTCTCCGCCCGCCTTCAAGGCGCGTTACGTTGCTCGAGGCTTCAGTCAGCGACAGGGAGTTGACTACTTCCAGACCTTCTCCACCACCCCAAAGATGACTACTCTTTGGGTGTTGCTGCACGTTGCTGCTCAGCGTGACTACGAGTTGCACTCTCAGGACTTCAGCACAGCTTCCCTGCAGGGCAGCCTGCACGAGGAGATCTGGCTGCGCCGACCACCTGGTTTCACTGACTCTTTTCCTGCAGGTACCCAGTGGAGCCTCCGCCGGCCAGTCTACGGTCTCCGCCAGGCGCCTCGCGAGTGGCACGACACACTCAGGACTACACTTGCGGCTCTTGGGTTTGCTCCTTCTACTGCAGACCCGTCGCTGTTTCTACGCACTGACACCTCGCTGCCGCCGTTCTACGTCCTCGTGTACGTCGACGACCTCGTCTTTGCCACTGCTGACACTGAGGCACTGACCCTTGTGAAGTCGGAGCTGCAGAAGAGACACACCTGCACTGACCTGGGTGAACTGCGCAGCTATCTTGGCCTGCAGATCACCCGGGACAGAGCACGGCGCACCATCACATTGACTCAGTCACACATGGTGCACCAGGTCCTTCAGCCCTTCGGCTTCCAGTTATCCTCGCCACAGCCCACTCCTCTGTCTACCAGCCACTCGCTCTCAGCTCCACCTTCGGACAAGTCCGTAGAGCCGAGTGGTCCGTACCCAGAGCTTGTGGGTTGCCTCATGTACTTGATGACGTGCACTCGACCTGACCTCGCGTACCCTCTCAGCCTTCTGGCTCGCTACGTGGCTCCCGGTAGGCACCGAAAGGTGCACTGGGATGCTGCGAAGAGGGTACTGCGTTACCTGTGCAGTACGTCGGGCATGGGGCTCGTGCTTGGAGGACGGGGTCCAGTTGTTCTCACTGGTCACGCAGACGCCTCCTGGGTTGACGACTCAGCTACGCAGCGGTCGTCACAGGGTTACACCTTCAGCCTTGGTTCCGGCTCTGTGTCGTGGCGGTCTACCCGCTCGTCTTTGGTTCTCAGCTCCAGTTGTGAGGCTGAGATCTACGCCGGGGCTATGGCTGCTCAGGAGCTACGCTGGCTCACCTACTTGCTGACCGACTTGGGAGAGCAACCTCGTTCGCCTCCAGTTCTGTACGTAGACAACAAGGCCATGATTGCCTTGTGTTAGGAGCACAGACTGGAGCACAGAACGAAGCACATCGCTCTGCGATACTTCCTTGCTCGAGAGTTGCAGCAGCGTGGCCAGCTTCGTCTTGCGTACGTGGCCAGTCGGGCCAACACTGCTGATGTCTTCACCAAGGCACTTCCGCCTGGTGATCATCAGCGCTTCGCTACTGTGTTAGGCCTTGTGCCCACTTTGCCTCACTTGCTCACTGCTTGACTCTGCTTGTACTGTGATCTCTATATATTCCTTCATGCTTGCACTTGCTAGGGTATGAGCACTGTATTGTTTGTTCTCTTTATATAACTCTGCATGTGAACTGGCCTTGTGGCCCTTTGCTTGTGCTCGGACTGTGTGGTGACTTTGTGATCCACCCTGAGCTTGCTTTGCTTTTCTTGACTGGTCTTGTGACCACTTGTTCTCCCCCACTTTGCCTATGGGGGTGTGTCAGAACATTATAGCTTATACATTTGTGTAGGCTGTAGTGAGCCCATAAGGGGTACAACCCAATTAGGGTTAGTACTTGTACCCAGCTGTTTCATTGTTCATTCATTCTCATTCACACATTCTAACACCCGACGCACAACAAATGGGTGACATGGGCGATGAATAGCGCGGTGTGGATCCTGTCGAAAGTCACGCACATCTTTCGACGGTCTGCGGCACAGATCCTTGCGGACAAGAACTTAGACCTCAACACCATCGCACAGCTGGGTCAATGGGACATGAACAAGATGCGCAGGTCATACGTCACAGGCATCCCGCGCCCGGCCATCCAGATGCAAGCTGGTTTCTCGCAGGAACCGGGCGACTATTACATCGGAAGATCGAAGACCGAAGGTCCTGAAGGATATCGAGGAGCACATCTTTCCTAAGGCGAAACTGTGGCTCATCGAGGTATGTATCTGTCGAGTACTTGGCGTCTTCGTCGAACGCAAGTTTTGCGCGCCCATCCATTTGTCGATGTCACCCTGTTCGTTTATGTTCAGGCCCAGGAGTGGAACAATGAGCAGGACAAGGAACATATGTACTACGCAGCGAAGAGTTTCTTCGAGGCCCTACTAGTCGCTCGAATGCCCATCGCAGAGGATCTTGCGATGTACTACGTTCATTGTGAGGACCACCTCTTCGACGGGGTCAGCGTTTGTGACTGCGAGCGTCACCCTTACGTCCAGATGTCGGGTTTGTGGAAGGACGAAGATTTCCAAAAATGGGCGCTCGACGTGTACACGCTCGACAAGTACGGCATCAAGATGCGGACCAACCCCTCGATGTCGAGAGCAACGGTAAGATGGTCCTTCCAAAACTATAAGCGACGACTTTGCATCAGCCCACTAACTGCACGTTTTCTTGCGTGCAGGACATATCCTCTCACCTCAACACCAAGCACCTCATCACGCAACTTCGGGCCGAGATAAACCTCCACAAGGAGGAGGGAGGGAAAAATGAAATCCAGATCAACCACCTCGAGAAGCAGGTCGAGTCATTGGAGCGGGAGAAGAGCTCGATGAAAGCTGAGTTGGAGGCCAAGACGGAGGCGTTCGCGCAACTACAGAAAGCGTTTGACGCATTGAAGAATACCGCGGCGGCAAGCGCAGCTGCAAATGTGGGGGAGAGCAAGAGCGTGCCGCAGACGGCGACCGAGGAAGCCACCCCAGATCCAGAGCAAGCCCAACAAGCAACGCCCTCTCGACAGAGCGTGGGCAGCCAGCTCGACCAGGCGTTCTTCGACGCGGTGGTGTGGCTGTGGTGCAATTGCGAGACCGTGCGGAAGGCGTGGTCGTACTGGGACGGGGCAATCCCACTGAACAACGGGCATAGTCTTCGACAGGCTTACATGAGGGGCTTCGCCGTCAAGTTCTGCAAGTTCACACCGACTCCACCCCCCGTAACCCCCGAAAAGGAGGCCCAGCCAAAAGAAAATCCACCAACCGCAAAAGCTATCGAGACGAAAATGCGGAAAATGGAGGCTGTCATGAAGGCCGTCGAGCATTTCCGGATCGACGACAGCAGTGCGGCTACGTCGACGGTCATCGAAAAGCTGGACTCAATTGTGAAGGGCCACTCGATCAACATGCTTTTGGAGGGCATCATTCTCAAGGAGGATTGTGGGAGGCAGCTCACGGAAAAGCGCAAAGTCGAGTCTGCAGAGGAAAACTGGAAGGACAAACAACGCCTCAGAATCACTCTGGAGCTCATTCGCGCCGAGCTCCAAACCGCAGAATGGGCGGAGAAGGTGTTCAGCAAGGAGAAATGGAAAGAGTTCACGGCAACAACTGGCGCGCGGCCTAGTTCGACGCGGCCTAGTTCGACGGGCAACCGTGACGAGGGGGGACCCTAATGTAGGTTGTTAAGGGTACATGGCATCTTCCCCTAATGCATGTTGTGACACCATCTCGACAAGATGAACCAATTGAGCATTCTCGAAACATTAAGTCAAGGAACATCTGTCGATCAACCTATCGAAACAACTAACACATCTGTCGAATGATACAAATACCCCCACAAAATGCGCCCACCTATACTACTCCCCTTGCCCGCCTGTTTCCGCCTCTGTTGCCTCCTCGTCGCCCAGCTTCGCCTTGCTCTTTTCTTCTGGCATAGCCAGGCTCCCATAGCCCGCGTCCTCCAGCAAACGGGCAGCAAATCGACAGCAGCACCATTGAGTACAGACTTGTGCTGCCACGCGCACCATCTGCAACAGGGTGGCGTCAGTCGAGCCGAGGCCTTCGACAGCCGACGAATATAGCAGATCGGGCCATTGCTTGGCCGGGAACGTCTTGCCGACGTGCAAAAGTACGGACAGCAACGCAGCCATGGCAGCCGCACTAGCCCGTGTCGCCATCTCCGGGGCGTAGAGCGCTGCGTTTGCGGCAGCTAGGGCATCCTTCTTAATGTCTTCCCTCGACAACTTTTTGCAGGCCGCCCACAAGCTTGCCACAGTTGCTGCGACGGCCATCATTTGCGCAGTCCCGTGCATGTTCTTCGGGACCGGATAAATCACGTTCCCGTTGTCAGAACATTTTAGCATTTACATTTGTGTAGGCTATAGTGGGGTAGCCCATAAGGGGTACAACCCAATTAGGGTTAGTACTTGTACCCAACTCATTCATAGTTCATCCATTCTCGTTCGTTACTTTGACATGGAATCAGAGCAGGTTCCTTGGGCCCACCACCTGCTACGCTGCTAGTACCTCCCTAAGCCCCTCGCCCCTAGGCCCGTCGACCCTAGCCTACGCGCCCGGCCCTTCGACCCTAGCCTACGCGCGCCAGGCCCGTCGACCCTAGCCTAAGCGCCCGGCCCGTCGACCCTAGCCTACGCGCGCCCGGCCCGTCGACCCTAGCCTACGCGCCCGGCCCGTCGCCCCTAGCCTACGCGCACCCGGCCCGTCGACCCTAGCCTACGCGCCCGGCCCGTCGACCCCTAGGCCGCGGCCCGTCGACCCCTAGCCCAGCGCCCCTGCCCCGTCCCTAGCCCGCGCCCGGCCCCGTCGGCCCCGTTTCTAGCCCAGCGCCCGGCCCCGTCCCTAGCCCGCGCCCGGCCCCGTCGGCCCCGTCGATCCGTAGCCCGCGGCCCGTCGACCCCTAGCCCAGCGCCCCGGCCCCGTACCTAGCCCGCGCTCGGCCCCGTCGGCCCCGTTTCTAGCCCAGCGCCCGGCCCCGTCCCTAGCCCGCGCCCGGCCCCGTCGACCCCGTCGACCCCTAGCCCGCGGCCCGTCGACCCCTAGCCCGCGCCCGGCCCCGTCGGCCCCGTCGACCCCTAGCCCGCGGCCCGTCGACCCCTAGCCCACACCCGGCCCCGTCGGCCCCGTTTCTAGCCCAGCGCCCGGCCCCGTCCCTAGCCCGCGCCCGGCCCCGTCGGCCCCGTCGACCCCTAGCCCGCGGCCCGTCGACCCCTAGCCCAGCGCCCCGGCCCCGTCCCTAGCCCGCGCCCGGCCCCGTCGGCCCCTAGCCCCGCGCCCGGCCCCGTTTCTAGCCCGCGCCCGGCCACGACGACCCCTAGCCCGCGCCCAGCCCTGTCCCTAGCCCGTGTCAAACATATATGCTTAGTTATATCTAGGCTTAGTTCATGTGTTTACATTTGTCTAGGCTATAGTGGGTTTAGCCTTAGGGGGTACACAATTCTCTCGACATTCTACTTGTACCCTCCCTTGCTTCCTAGTCCATCATCCTCGTAACTTACTTTAACATGGTATTAAGAGCAATTAAGTCTTAGGACCTAATCTCAATGGGCCCACCACCTACTGCACTGCCCGTACCTAGCTCGTCGACTTCGTCGCCCGTGCCCGGCCCGTACCTAGCCCGTCGCCCGGCCCGTACCTAGCTCGTCGCCTCGGCCCCGCTGGCCCCGTCGACTTCGTCGCCCGCGCCCGGCCCGTACCTAGCCCGTCGCCCGGCCCGTACCTAGCCCGTCGCTCGGCCCGTACGTAGCCCGTCACCTAGGCCCCGCTGGCCCCGTCAACTTCGTCGCCCGCGCCCGGCCCGTACCTAGCCTGTCGCCTCGGCCCCGCTGGCCCCGTCGACTGCGTCGCCCACGCCCGGCCCGTACCTAGCCCGTCGCCCGGCCAGTACCTAGCCCGTCGCCCGGCCCGTACCTAGCCCGTCGCCCGGCCCGTACCTAGCCCGTCGCCTCGGCCCCGCTGGCCCCGTCAACTTCGACGTGTCAGAATATTATGTTTCTCTAGTCTGCAGTGGGGTACTTTGTAGTGAGTACAACCTTGTTAGGGTTTCCTATATGTACTCAATTACTTTCTAGTGAATCCATTCCTTCCTATGATTCTCACATGGTATCAGAGCAATTTCGATCCTTCCTAAGGGCCCACCACGTTTACACTATTTTTTTTTTTCTACCCGAGGCGCGCGTCGCGCCTGCCCTTAACGGCCCTTAGCGGCCCCTCGTAAGGCCCTTTGCGGCCCGTTAGGCCCCTTCGCGGCCCCCCTTTACGACCTGTAGCGGCCCCCATCGCGGCCCGTTAGGCCCGTCGCGGCCCCTTTCGCGGCCCGTTAGGCCCCCGTCGCGGCCCCTTCGCGGCCCGTTAGGCCCCTTCGCGGCCCCCCTTTACGACCTGTAGCGGCCCCCCTTCGCGGCCCGTTAGGCCCGTCGCGACCCCTTTCGCGGCCCGTTAGGCCCCCGTCGCGGCCCCTTCGCGGCCAGTTAGGCCCCTTCACGGCCCCCCTTTACGACCTGTAGCGGCCCCTTCGCGGCCCCTTCGCGGCCCGTCCCGGACCTGCCCCGACCCTGTCGCGGCCCCGTCCCGGACCTGCCCCGACCCCGGCCCTGCCCCGACCCTGTCGCGGCCCCTCGTCGCGGCCCACCGTCGCGGCCCCCCGTCGCGGCCCACCGTCGCGGCCCCCCGTCACGGCCCCCCCCGTTGCAGGCCCCCCCGTAGCGGCCCCCCGTCGCGGCCCCCTGTCGCAGGCCCCCGTCGCGGCCCCCCGTATCGGCCCCGTCGCCCGGCGCCGCCCCTGTCCCGAACCTGTCGCGGCCCTATCGCGGCCCTGCCCCTGCCATGCCCCGACCCTGCCCAGGCCCCGCCCCCCTCGTGCCTGCACCGGCGCACCGGGGGCCCGCGCACCGCCCCCCCCCCTTTTCCCGTCGCCTTACGTGGCGACCTGGGGGCGGCCGCGCGCGCCCCCCCCCCAGGTCGCCTCAATAGGCGACGAGAGGGGCGACCTGGGGGGGGCCGCGCGTCGGAGCAGCCGCCCCTGGTGCAGCCGCCCCTGGAGCAGCCGCCCCTGGACCCAGAGCAGCCGCCCCTGGCCCCTGGAGCAGCCACCCCTGGCCCCTGGAGCAGCCGCCCCTGGCCCCTGGAGCAGCCGCCCCTGGTGCAGCCGCCCCTGGACCTCAGCAGCCGCCCCTGGCCCCTGGAGCAGCCGCCCCTGGACCCCGCGACGCCGCCCCTGGACCCGGTGCCGCCGCCTCCCTGTGCTGCCCATTGCCGCCTGTTACTGCTCTCCCCCCCCCCCCCCCCCTTCTTCGTCTCCCTGCTGCGCGTGCAGCCGTGGAACGGAGGGTATGGGGGTGGCGGGTATGGGGGTGATGGGTGGTATGTTTCCCTTCCCCTCCTCCTCCTTTGTCTCCCATTGCTGCAGCTGCCGCTGAGGGGGGTGGATGAGTGTGAGCCAAAGGCGTGGTGCTAGGGGGTGACGTGTGAGTGAACCTAGGGGTGCAGCAGGGGGTGTGTGAATGGGGGTGCGGCAGTAGAGGGAGACTGGGTGGAGGTAGCCGTCGTGTTGCTAGCAGTGCCAGTAGTCCGGAGGTGCGCTTCCGGTAGCCCAGTGATGCCGCTGCGCCAGTCGCCCGTGGGTCCGTTGCTCCTGCCGCTCGTCTTAGCCGCGGAGCCAGTTACTCCTGTAGTCCGGAGGTGCGCCTCCGGTAGCCACAGTGCGCGCCGCTCCTGTTGCCCGTGTGTCTGCAGCTTCCGCCGTTGCCTCCTCTCTCCTCACTTGCCCTCTGTGATAGCCTCTAGCTTTACTTATTTACTGTGAACTATAAACTGTTGCTTCTTGTACTTGTGCTCAGAATGTGTGGTGACATTGTGATCCACCCTGAGCTTGCTTTGCTTTGCTTGTTGTGCTGATCATACCCCACTTTGACTATGGGGGTGTGTCAGAATATTATGTTTCTCTAGTCTGCAGTGGGGTACTTTGTAGTGAGTACAACCTTGTTAGGGTTTCCTATATGTACTCAATTGCTTTCTAGTGAATCCATTCCTTCCTATGATTCTCACCCGACGCCCGCGCCCGGCCCGTACCTAGCCCGTCGCCCGGCCCGTACCTAGCCCGCGCCCGGCCTCTTCTCCTGCCTGCGCGCCCGTCGCCCGGCCCGTACCTAGCCCGTCGCTCGGCCCGTACCTAGCCTCGCGCCCGGCCCCGTACTTGCCCAGCGCCCGGCCCTGTACCTGTTTGGCCCCTCGGCCCCCTAGGCCCCTCGGCCCCTTGTTTGGCCCCGCGGCCCCTAGGCCCCTCGGCCCCACCTCAGATACTGGCGCCCGGCCCCCCGGCCCCTTGTTGGCCCCTTGTTTGGCCCCTCGGCCCCTTGTTTGGCCCCTCGGCCCCCTAGGCCCCTCGGCCCCCTCTAGGCCCCCCCGGCCCCTTGTTTGGCCCCGCGGCCCCTAGGCCCCTCGGCCCCACCTCAGATACTGGCGCCCGGCCCCCCGGCCCCTTGTTGGCCCCTTGTTTGGCCCCTCGGCCCCCTAGGCCCCTCGGCCCCTTGTTTGGCCCCTCGGCCCCCTAGGCCCCTCGGCCCCCTCTAGGCCCCCCCGGCCCCCCTTGTTTGGCCCCGCGGCCCCTAGGCCCCTCGGCCCCACCTCAGATACTGGCGCCCGGCCCCCCCGGCCC